GGGCGTGCCGGGGAGGCGGGGCGTGCCGGGGAGGCGGGGCGTGCCGGGGAGGCGGGGCGTGCCGGGGAGGCGGGGCGTGCCGGGGAGGCGGGGCGCTTGGGCTATATCCTCTCTGGAAGATTGCAGAGTTTGTGCTTTGGGCCTCGCGGTAGGAGAGCAGGGAGGAGAGGGAATTGACCCTGACCCATCCTTGCCCACCCCCACAGCCGAGGGTGCGAGCTCCGGGGGCCCATTCCTGTGCGGGGCGCTGGAGACCTCCGTGGTCCTGCTCCAGTGGTACCAGCCCATGAACAAGTTCCTGCTGGTCCGGGTAAGGGACTTGGGACTCCGGGTACTGTGGACTCTGGACAGGCAGTGACTAGGGCCTTCCACCCTAGGAGCTTAGGTGGAGAGCTCCCTGAAGCCCCGCCTCCATAGAGGCCCCGCCCACCCCTCGCACTTCACAGGGCTTCTTGATTCTTAAGCTCCGCCCTTCATACCTGGCCCCAAGGATTTCTCAGACTCTGTGCCCAGCCCCAGATTTCTAAGGAGAAGCCATTCAGGACCKGTTGCTTTCTTTGACTATCTAAGAAGATAGGATTTTACTGTCCTTGAGGCCCTGTACCTTGGGGGTCCCTGCCTATCTCCAGGTTTCAATCAAAGCCACACACACTCTGAAGCCACACCCCTCGTTTTCTGAGGAGGCCCCAAACCCTCTGAGGCCTCTGACACCTTGAAATTTCCAGATAGCATCTCTCAAGACTGTGGGCCCAGGATATACTTCAGAAGTCCTAGGCCTGCGCAGGCGCTGTGGTGCACGCCTGTAATCCAGCGACTCCGGAGGCTGGGAAAGGAGGATAGCAAATTCGAGGCTAGTTTGAGTAAATTGGCCAGACTTAGTGAGACAGGCTCAAAATTAAAACAAAATAGGAAGGGCAGAGGCTGTGGCTCAATGGTTGAGCGCCCCTGAGTTCAGTCCCCAGTGCGACAAAAAAAAAAAAAAAAAAAGTCCGTAGCCTTATAGCAAGGCAAGCCACTCCCTGGTCCCACTGATCCCGCCCCTGCCCTGCGGCCAGCAGCAGGTGCTGTTTCCACTGCCCACGCCTCTGCCAGTGTTCGCGCTGCTGACCTCGCCAGGCTCCGACCTGCCGGCCGTGTGCATCGGCGTGAGCCCGGGCCGGCTGGCGAAGTCAGTGCTCTTCCACACCGTACGCTTCGGTGCACTGTCCTGCTGGCTGGGCGAGATGAGCACCGGTGAGTGGGCGGGGCTGCGTGGGCGTGGGCGGGGCTTATCTTGAGGCAGTACTGACCCAGGAGTGGGACAGCGGGTTTTATTTAAATGGTGAGATTTTCCGGATGGGGCTTGGGTGGTGGGCGGGGCCTGGCCTAATTGCAGGGGACCTGAGCGCTGCCTAGTGAGACCCTGGTCTATGGGGACCCTGTGGGAGAACAGAGAACCTGGTGGAGTTTTTTCTTGACTCCCGTCCTCTAGAGCACAAGGGAGCAGTGCAGGTGACCCAAGTAAAGGAAGACATGGTGATGGTGTTGATGGATGGTAAGAGCCCCTGCCCGGCCCTCGCCGTTTCCCTGTCCAGGACCGCGGCTCTCAGAAACCCTGAGCCCCTCCGGGCCGCGCCCCACGGCTCCCCACCCCCACTTCCTTCTTGGCTTTTCACACTGAATTTATTGCAGGGATGTCCTGCGCCCTGCCCTCCGTTCTTAACACCCTCGTTCTACTTGGCCAGGCTCCCTGAAGCTGGTGACACCAGAGGGGGCCCCAGTCCCGGGACTTCGCACATCTGAGATCCCCATGACGGAACCGGTGGAGGCCGTGGGTATGTGCAGAGGTGGGGACTCCTGGGGGCGGGGATGAGGCTTGAGTGAGCCCCAGGGGTAACGGCTGCTGCTTCTCTCCAGCAATGGTCGGGGGCARGCTGCAGGCCTTCTGGAAGCACGGAGTCCAGGTGTGGGCTCCAGGTTCCGACCAGGTAAGCTCCTCCCCTCCACGCCAATCGGCCTGCCTCGGTCACGGTCATCAATGACATTTAAACATGGGCTTGGCGTCTTGGATGGAACCTTCCTCCAGTTTCAGTGCAGACGGAGCCCCTTCTCTGCCCCACGGTCTCCCCAAGCCCAGTCTTACCATGCGATGCTGTGCAAGGGAGTTTCCTTCTCTCTGAGCCTCTAAGCCTTGACTGTAAGGTGGGGGCCAAGAGCCTGGACCAGAAGCCTGCACTGGAACCAGCTGAGTGACCTTAGACACATGACTTCACTGTCCTGTGCCCCACTGTCCTCCTTTGGAAAATGGAGGGGAAGTGGGGCTTATCTCATAGAACACGGTATCAGACTCTACCCTTGCATTTTAATATTTTGTTTAATCTTTACAATAACCAATCAGATAGGTACTAAGATTTTACAGGTTAGTAATCTGAGGCACAGAAAAGTTAAGTAACTTGCCGCGGTCACACGGCTGGTACATGGTGTTGGATCAGATGTCAGACACACAGAAACCTCTCCTTGTTCTCCTTAAGAAAGACGTGTTGGTGGGGAGTGGGGAGGGGTCTTCTGTCACTGACACACTCATTTTCTCCCCAGCTGCTGCAGGAGCTGAGAGACCCAACCCTCACCTTCCGTCTGCTTGGCTCCCCCAGGTACAGTGCTGGGGAGGGGGACAGAAGGTCCAGAGAGGGAGCTTCTGACGTGGAGAGCGCTTCCTGAGGTGTCATAGCCACCCACACCTTTTTTGGGGGGACACATGGGGGATTGAACTCAGGAGCGCTTGACTACTAGCCACATCCCAGCCCCATTTTGTATTTTACTTAGAGACAGGGTCTCACTGAGTTGCTTAGTGCCTTGATTTTTGCGGAGGCTGGCCTTGAACTTGCAATCCTCCTGCCTCAGCCTCCTGAGCCTCGGGATTACAAGCCACCCGTAGCTTTGACCTGGACAGTCGTGTCTTCCTGCTTCCATCCCTTTTCCCACAGTTTACTCCCTGCACAGCAGTCAGGGGGCATTTTCATTTTGTATTTTTATTTTAACTTTTAAGCCATTAAAATAATTATTTTAATTTTTATTTTGACATAAATTTAAATTTGCAAGAAGTTGGAAAAATAATACAAAAAAAAATTCCTGAATCCCTTTCACTCAGATTCCCCAAAGAGTAACTTTAAAAAAAAAAATCATTTTTGTTTTATCCATGTTTTTCCCCTTTGATCCTGAGGACTGAACCCAGGGCCCCTCACATATAAGGCGCACGCTCCACCAGGGAGCACAGCCCCTGTCCCCTTCCTCTCTTTTTATTCTTATTTATTTAGTTAGTTAGTTATGGGGATTAGCCCCAGGGTGCTCTTTATCATTGAACTATATCTACTTTTATTTTTTATTTTGAGACAGGGTCTCACTAAATTGCTTAGGGCCTTGCTAAGTTACTGAGGCCTCAACCTCCAAGTCAGTGGGGTTGCAGGTGCACACCACCACACCTGGTGCCTTTTTATTTATTAATATCAGCATCATCTCATAGATTTCTATTTCACTCTATTCATCCTGTAATCTATTATAATTTTTTATCTTGAGGCTCAAATTGTCTCGCATTTAGCCAATGGGAGGCCCTGTAAGGGGCTCCATTTTTTTTTAGATAAAGGAATTTTAATTATTAATCCTTTCAATGGTTACATAGTTCAGAATTTACATTAAGATAATGTTTGCAGGGTGCTGAGGCTGGGGCTCAGTGGTAGAGCGTGTGTCTAACACATGTGAGGCGATGGGTTTGAGCCTCAGCACCATGTAAAAATAAATCAAGAAAATAAAAGTATTGTGTCCACCTACAACTAAAAAAATATTAAAAAAAAAGATAGTGACTGCAAAAGGTTGAATGGATATGGTTATAGAGATATCTGTTTTTAACAGCTCTACTGAGATATAGTTCTCATAGCATGTTCCCTGTGCCCTTTAGACGTGTTGGGGGCACCTTTTAACAATCCAGGTCTGACCATCTCACTGTCTCTCTGCTTCAAATCCTCCCGAGGCCTCAAGGGAAACACTCAGTACTGGCCTCAACCCACAAGTCCAGCCACACCCAGCCTCTCCTCATCAAAGGTTTTGCACATCTGTTCTCTCTGCCCAGAACACTCTTTTTTTGTGTGTGTGTGGGGGGAGATGGRGGTACAAGGGATTGAACCCAAGGACACATAACCACTGAGCACATCCCCAGCCCCCTTTTTAAAAAATTATATTTTAGTTGTAATAGGAGACAATACCTTTATTTATTTTTTTCTGCTGCTGAGGATCAAACCCAGGGCCTCACACGTGCTAGGTGAGCACTCTACTGCTGAGTCCCAAGTCCAGCCCCCCCCAAGCCCTTTTTTTTCTGTTTTTTTTTTTTAAAGAGAGAGGTGAGAGAGAGAGAGAGAGAGAGAGAGAGAGAGAGAGAGAGAGGGAATTTTTTAATATTTATTTTTTAGTTTTCGGCGGACACAACATCTTTGTTGGTATGTGGTGCTGAGGATCGAACCCCGGCCGCACGCATGCCAGGCGAGCGCGCTACCGCTGAGCCACATCCCCCGCCCCCCCCCCCCCAGCCCTTTTTATATTTTATTTAGAGGCAGGATCTCAGTAAGTTGCAGAGGCTGGCTTTGAACTTTCGATCGTCATGCCTCAGCCTCTGGAGCTGCTGGGATTACAGGCAGGCACTACTGCATCTGGCCCAAAACTCTCTTTCTTGTTCTTTTACCGCATTCCCTTCTGAACAGCCTCAGGCTCCCCTGTACAATCTTTGGGGAAACCTTACCTGTCCTCTTGGGGTGAGTTTCTCTGTCATGCACCCCCTGCTTCTTTGCACCCATGTGCTCATTGATTTCTGTTGCCCTCCCTTAGATGACAGGCTCTACAACCATAGCGACCACGTCAGTGTGGTCATTGTTCCCCCCAGCATTGGGCGCACGTCTCTATTAACTTGGGAATGAACAGATGACCTGCTTCTCCCTTCCCAGGCCTGTGGTGGTGGAGACGAGACCAGCGGACAACCCCACTGCCCCCAGCAACCTCTACATCCAGGAATGACCCTACAGGGTCTTTTAGGAACGGGTCCCTGCGTCCACCTCTCCAAAGTACACACTAGTGGTCATGTCATAGCCTCGTTTTCTAATAAATGTGACTTTAGCCTATGCAGTCATCTTGTTTTTCTGGGGGGAGGCAGAATTTCTGGGTGTCCTCTCCCCCCAAATTTCAACAACCAACAGTGATGCCAGGGGGTATAGCACAGATTTTATTTCTCCATTGCAAGGTCACCTCGCCCTCAACTTCCTTGAGGACAGGGGCTGGGGGCTTTCGGTGAGAGTAAGGCACTTGAGGTAGGGAGGTGGGGGCCGCTCAGCTGAGCTGGTCCTCGTACTGCTTGCGGAAACAGTCGCCGGCCGGGAAGAAATCCCAGCATCTCTCCTGGTACATTTTCCAGACATAGGACTCCTGGGTTGGGGGAGGAGAAGAGTCCTTTGGTCACGCCTTGATATTGACTTAAGCTTTCTACTGTCACCTGTTCATTGGCCTGATAACGTCCCTGCCCCTTGTTGTTCATTAGCGCCCCCTTACCTGACCCGTGTGTTCCGTTTCGTCCTTGTTTATCAGATACATCAGGAAAAACCTGAGGGAGGGAGGACACCGGTCAGAACCGCTCTTACCTTCTGATTGGCTGGCTGCGAACCCCACCCACGTGGACGCCACACCCCCTTCCCTAAGCCGCCCGGACTCAGTAGCCACCCCTGGCGCCCCTGGCCATGCCCCCGCCCTCCCGATTGGCCAGCGGCCTGCGCTCACATGTAATTGGCCAAGTTGTGCTCCTCCAGCGTGTGGGTCTCAAATCCGTGCGGTGTAGTGTCAAAGTAGTCGCTGCCTATTCCGCAGATGAAGCACTTGGTCTGTAGGGGGTGAAAGACAGCAGAGTTGAGGCCCATTTGGCCACCCAGCATCCTATAATCCCTCGGGGTCACCCCACAAATGACCCACCTCCATATCCTCCTTCACTTGCTCTTGCTGGTCTCGGAGCTCACCAAAGGCATCGATAATCAGACCTGGGGAGGCAGAATGCAGGTCAGCCAGACTCAGACCCAGTTCGGACTCCTCCTAGTCCCAGCTACCTGTCTTTGGGCCGGGCCTTCTAGCCCCTATCTCCCCAGCCTCACCCTACTGGCTAAGAAGAATAAAACTAGGTGTTTATTAAGCACTTACTACAAAACACTTAAAAGGTATGGACAGACTTAATTCTCATGCAACCCGATGAAGTTAAGGACCATTATTAATACCCCCATTTGGCAGATAGAGACTGAGGCCACTTGCCCAGAGTTTCATATAGAGAGAAGCAGAGCGAAACAGGAATCCACGGAGACTGGCTCGTGGTTTGCACTCTTAGCCATGGAGCATCTGGGCATTGAGTGTCCACTCCCACCCACCACCTCAGCCAGCACTGACCTTGGATGATGGCCAGCAGGATGATGATGACGAAGAAGAAGAAGGTAATGTCGAAGACCACCCGGTAGAGCTCGTATTCATCGCCTGCTGGGTCCTCAATCTCGTCCCCGATGCCTCCGCCAGCCCGGACACCCACATACATGTGAAACAGGTAGCACTGGGGATGGGGGGCATGTGGTCACTCACTCCACTGTGCAGTGGTCATTCACTGAGTACCAGCCAAGGCCCTGGGCTAGGCAGGGCTGGACACCAGCAGTGACAGTGACAGCCTAGAGCCAGTCCTCTCAGGGCTCATAGATACTGCATCAGTGACAGCCCAGAAACGGTCAGGGCTGTGATAGACAGGAACAGGCCGAGGCCAGGCCGGGGGAGGCAGCCATGTGATCAGGGTGAGCTGGAGAAGGACAGGAAGCCTCGAGAGCTCGCTGAGCTCCTGACCCCTTCTAGGTGATCAGTGAGGCTTCCTGGAAGGGGGACGMGTGTGAGTGGAACCAGAAGGAGGTGTGAGGTGCGTGGCTGGTGGGAAAGAGGTTCCAGGCAAGAAAACCACAGGTGCAACATCACAGTCAGGGAGGAAAGGCTCAATCTTGCAGAAGGAGGGTGCAGCTCAGGGGAAGAGCACGTAGCCCTCCGTGTGCAAGGCCCTGGGTTCCATCCCCAGCACTACCAAAAATAAACAAAATCTTATTCCCATGGGGAACTGAAAGAGATTTGGTGGGCTGAGAAGTGGATTTTATGGGCAACAGCAGGGGACAGGAGCAGGAGAGAGATGATCAATAAAGCAAAGTCTGGTTACATGGGCACCGCAGGCCCAGGCCCCAGCAGTGGTCAGGGAGGGCTTCCTGGAGGAGACAGCATCTGAGGGGTCATGTGAAGGGATGATGAAGGTGAGGGATGATGAAGGTGAGGGGTCATGTGAAGGGATGTGCATGCTGTGCCTGGGATGGGGACCAAGTGCAAAGGGCCTGAGTCAGGAGGAAACATATGGTCTCAGAGAACTGAAAGAGGAACAGGCAGCCAGGAAGTAAAAAGCAAGAGGGATTGTGGTTAGACTTACACAGAGTAGACTCAGGATTTACCCCTCCTTGCCCCCGCCTTTGTAAGCCATAATGAGGCTTAAGTAAGAGCTAAAATCACTGACTGATGGGAACAAAGCTGTGGGTGGGAGGGCCAGTCTTATAGGGCCTCAAATGTCAGGAGGAGCTGGATTTACAGGTCATTTCCCGAGATAATCCCCTGAAATGATTCTTTTAATTGTGTCCCTGCCTCTAGTAGGTTAAAGCCAATTTGGATTATGATCACTGTTATTAGAATAGAAGAAAAAATATAACTACCTGCACGCTGGTACTTTTATTCAGGAGCACTTAACCATGGAGTCACACCCCCATCCCTTTTTATTTTTTATTTTGAGACAGGGTCTCACTAAGTTGCTTAGGGCCTCACTAAGTTGCTGAGACTGGCCTCAAACTTGCAGTCCTCCTGCCTCAGCCTCCCTAGTTGCTGGGATTACAGGCATGTGCCACCACAATCTTGGGCATGCTGGTGTTTTTAATTACAGGTTGATAGTGACTAATATCTACGTAATCTTAATGCATGTCAGGCACTATTCCAAGCTTTTTTTCCCTTGGTGGTGCTGGGGATGGAGCGCAGCGCCTCACACATGCTAGGCAAGCTCTCTGCCCCTGAGCTACACCCGCAGCCCAGTAACACATAGTTTTAATGTCTCAAATAATATCAAAACCACGGCTAATATCTGGGGAGCACTAACCGTGGGTCTGGCACCTTAGACATATGAGCCGTCTGAGCTGTCACGAGCCCAGCAGGCAGCTGCTGTTAGTAACCCCCTTTACAGACAGGAAAACAGAGGCCAGTGACCTGAGGGGTGGAGGGGGGGCTGGGGGGGCTCACCGTCATCATATCGTCACACTTCATGTCGGGCTCGTCCTCGTCCTCACTCTTGTTGTAGAACTTGCGGAAGAAGTTGAAGGCCACCACGGTGTACAGGTAGACCACCACGGCCAGGAGGCCCACGGTCATCACCAGCTGGGGGCAGGCAGGGGAGGCTCAGCCCACAGGCCTCGCTGCCCCCTGGGCCCGGCCCGCCCTCCCTGCTGGTCCCCAGCCGCCCCATCCCCACAGCTCCACCCCGCCCAGACTGCCACCCTTGTCCCTCCCAGGTCCTCTGCACCACACCTGCTTCCCGTTGTGGGTGACGGAGGAGAGGATGGTGCGCAGCGTCTTGACTCCCATGGCGATGTCCAGGAGGTGAGCGGCAAAGAAGAAGTTGTTGTAGTGGCCCAGGAGGGACATCACCATGTACCAGCTCAGGTACAGGAAAGACTGCGGGCACAGGGCGCCTGGGGTCAGGGAGCCTGCGGGCGCTGAGGGACTGGGCTGCCCGCCCCGGGGAGCGGGTGTGTGGGGGGCTGGGGGCCTCTGAGCTGGGGACCTGGGGAGCAGTGGGGACCCTCTGCAGAAGGCGGGGTCTGGGTTCCAAGCGCATCCTGAGGAAGCTCAGGGCTGAGAAAGTACCTTAGGATCACAGGGGCTCAGGAGTCACCCTGGGGGTGGGGACACAGGACTGGAGCCCCCCCCACCGCCCCACCCTGCTGGGCCCTCCCCCACGGCCCCTCCTCACGTTGTCGGTGAAGATGACCCCGAACTTCCAGATCTGGTACTTGACATCGATGGACATGAGCCTGCAGRGGCGAGGAGGGCCGGGATGGCGCGGTGCCCGGGGGCGGGCCCCTCCCTTCCCACCCCAGGCCCCTGTCCCCGCTCACCAGGTCAGCAGCCCTGGGGGAGGGTCCGGCTTGCGCTCGTTGTGCGCCGTGATCTCCAGCGAGGCCAGGTCCATGCCCAGCAGCTCGGCAATCCGCTCCCGCCCGAAGATGTCCCCGTGTTTGTCCAGAACCTGCGCCAGAGTGTCAGACCCTGCGATGTGACTAGAGGGGCGAGTGTCGCGGTCCCTGGGGGATTCTGGAGACACTCTGAACTTGGTATAAGAAATGGGGGGCTGGGCTGGGGCTCCGTGGCAAAGCGCTTGCCTAGCATKCGGGAGGCGCTGGGTTCGACCCTCAGCACCGTGTAAAAATTAACAAATAAAATAAAGGCATTCTGTTCACCTACAACTACCAAAAAAAAAGTTTTTTTTAAAGAAATTGATGTACATTTTTCTGGGGAGAAGGGCCAGAGCTTTGTTCAGATAATCACAGTGAGGGATCAACACGATAAAGGTGCAGCTGATCCAGCAGCCAAATTAGTTGAGATACTTTATTATTTTAGGCAGGCAGGCAGGGAAACCTCTATAATTGGGCCCCGGCACCTATGATCCTGTTCACCTCATTCACACAGCCACACGGGCCTCCTCCATTCCTCAAACCCACCAGCGCATTCTTGCCTCAGGGCCTTGGTCCTGACTGTTCCCTCACCTAAGACACTCTTCCCCCAATTTCTACCTGGCTCACCTCCTCAATTCCTTATGAATTAGTATGACCTTTTCAGAACACGTTACCTAAAACAGCAACCCCCCCTGGCCTACACACACACACACACACACACACACACACACACTCACACACGCATGCTCCCCACCCCTCTTGTCTGCTTTATTTATTTGGGGGCATTGGGGTAGAACCCAGTGCCTCACACACACAGGGTAAGCACTCTGCCACTGAGCC